TTTTCTAATAATTTACCTTTTTTACTTAATTTGTCACACAGAATATTTTTACAAATTACATTATTTATTCTAATTTTTATCTAGAATATCCGCAATCTCTGCCTAGCCCACTGGTTTAAGGGCGTAGGCAATGTTAAAGAATATAAAGATTTGTACAGCTGTTGTAAAAGTTGAAATAGAATGTGGAAAAGACACAAGTAGAAAAAACGAAGTTGACTTATCAACTTAATAAGAAATAATTTAAATTGAACAATTGCGGTCAGTCTGAGTAATAAATAAAAATTGGAACAATAAAGTACTTACATGATAGGTTCAGAAAGAGTTTCGGACATTGTTCCAAATTATACTGTGATATTAAGATGATACTTTAAACCTAACATGAGCAATCCTATTCACTTAAAATAAAATTATTACTTTTAGAACTCATAAACTTTGCTAAATAGAATGACAATTTAATTAACGGCTGACGGTTAGCGGTTGCATTCGAATATAAAAATGAAAAGTTGCTAAAAACATCTGTCAAAGCAAAGAGGCCAAAGTCGTACTTTGTACTTGATAAAAAGTTTCCCTATATTTAAACAAAAATTAAATATTTATGGAACAATAATATAGAAAAATTACCCACGAAATTTTATGATTTTATTAGAAACCTTGCCAAGCATCTCCATCAATTTATGTTAAAAAAAAAATCAAATGTCACAGTCACTGTCAAAAACGAAAGTTGATTTCAGATTTGGTTTGGTTTGTATTTGTAGGTTATTTGATAAGGAAAAAAGTTTGTATTTTCTCTACAATGTCTCTTCAATCAAATATTCGCTCTATATTTCAAAGAATTATTATTTCTGATATGAAAATAGTAAGTCGGTTTTATTGCACTCCCAACGATGAAAATGTCGAAGAAGAACAAAAAAAAGCCATTGATCCTTCTAAGGATAGAACAAAAGTAATTCCTGTGGAAACAAGCATACGTTATCTTCAAAGTAAAGCATATGAAGAAACTTATGGAGGTAAACCAGTATGGACATTATATCGACGCAATCACAAAGGTGGTTTTGCACCCCGTAAAACTAGAAAATCTTGTGTTCGAGGCGGCATTATATCTACTGGAAATCCATGTCCTATCTGCCGAGATGAATACTTGGTATTAGATCACAGAAATACAAAATTGTTGCAACAATTTATTTCGGAATACACTGGCCAGGTAAGCAAAATTGGAACATGAATTTTAGTAAGTTCTTATGCATAATTTAATGATAATGAAAATACTTGGAGCTAATCGCCTTATTATTTAGTAATGTGTATTGAATCTAATTTTGCACTGACAAAGAAAGTAGATCATAGACATAGATAGATAGACATTTAGTTATTTTGTTTTCCTTTAGATAATATTGACATCTAATTATAGATTTAATTGTTGTTATTTACAAGGTTTTCAAATCAATTTAAGTTTTTCTAACTGATCTTTGTCATTTAAAGTATTACTTTTATATAACAGCATCACTTATTCTGCATCCTGTAGGGCTGAGCACCTTGAGAAGGTTTTAAACTCGTCTTATGAATTAACACATGAAATATTTTCAGATTCTAGATGCCTTTAATACAGGAATATGTCAGAGGAAACAAAAAGAACTTCTCGTCGCTATTGAAAAAGCATGGGATCAAGGTAATTTGACCTATGATGTTCCTTTCAGAGAATATGATTATAGTTTGTACAATAAAACCACAAATTAAGTAATAATATTTAATATCTTTGAAACTTCATTAGTTATTTAGTTAAATATACAGTTAATAACATAAATTCTTTTATTAACATAACCATACCCCAAAGTTATCTGCAATGGCACTAATTGTTAAAACATTTTTTTTTACTTATTTAGTATGACACTCTTAGATATGTTATTTTTATAAAGTAGTAAATGATGATATTATGTTACATCGATTATACGTGACATTAGTTATAATTATCCATAATTTTTGTTCTGTTTCTTTGCACTAATAACTCTCTGATAAGTGCTGATTTTTCTCGTTCCAGTACTGAAATTCGTTCATTTTTGCGATTCACTTCCTGCAAGATAATTAATTAAATATTAACTGAAGCTTAATACCAAACAATTGTTAGAAATATTTTTTTATTAGATAAGAATTATTTTTAAACTATTTTACAATTTTTTTTAAAGAAGTTTAAGTATGGTAAGATTTAAGCAGCCAACCTCTAGTAGAAAATGGCACTTGAAAAAAATACAAACCTCAGATAGCATGCGGTTCTGAGATCTGAGGACCGCGGCATTATTTGGTGTAGTGGGAGGTGAGTTTTGCAAGCTTGTAGGCAGTGCAAGATTCATGTGCAAGGATAGTGGTCCGTGCCGCCATCCCGCGGCCAGCGCGCCCAGCTGCCGGTTCAACTCTAAAACTCGCGCTTTGAGAAGTTCCAATCGTTCCTGATGCGCTTCGTTCCAAGGTTCCTGTGAAAGAAGAACATTCAACATGAATACGAATTTGTAATGTACTGAAAGCTATTTAACCTGATCTTAATATTATAGCAGCAAAAGCTTTTAAATTCTTATTTATATCGTGCGGAACTTTGTGTAATGATTTTCGTGTAATCTTACGACATAAATAGCGCAGAATAGTTATTTTGAAAAGAAATCGTAATTAATTTTTTTTACAAATTTTCTCTCTTCGATCATTTTTGTCTGATAAAATTGATCTTTGCCGAAAGTAATTTTTTGTTAAAATTTTCACTAAAACTTATATGATAAATGTTCCAATTGTTGTTTTTATTTCAAATGCTTAAAAGAGCTTACGAACACCGAATTCGATTATGTATACGATATGATTCTGCAGTGTAACTTTACCAATACAATTAAATTTCGTTGTTTGCAAATGCAATATCTTACCACGTATGTCCCCATACGTCCTGCATAGCGCATTTTATCTTGAACCTCTGCCAATTGCTTCAAGTACCATTCGCGCGCTTCCTCGACTGCCGACAAACCCTGCAGTAATACATCCTTTTCTTGCTCGATTTGTTTCATTCTTTTCAAAAGATTGTAGTCGACGCCATTCTGCAAAGTATGCCTACGAGGCTCTCGTCGACGAGCGGCACGACGCATGTGAAGTTGAGTTTCGTTTGCTGACCGTCCATCGCCTAAGCCTCGATCTTCCCGGTTTTGTTCATCGACAACCCGAGACATATCGAATTCCAACTTGACTTCCAAATCATCTCTGTCTAAAGGCATATCGTCCGACTTGTAGTTAGTTCTTACGCTGTCTTTTCTGTCGAGTTGATTCTTTTCCAGCCTCGGTGGTTTTGGAGGACCGTATATCCGTTGGGTACTATCGTGCTTTGGCAACGCTGTTCCTACGTTGTGCATTAAATCTGGTAATGGGTTATCCTTATCTTCAATCAATTGTGGCATACTTTGCGTTCTATGTTGACCGTGTGTCGATGTTTCTGGATTTCTTGGCATCCAGTTTCTGTCTCGATTTTGTGTACTATTAATGTCTAATAACGGAGCAGAGGGTGGACGGTGTACTTGGGCGCTCACTTGCGAATGCAGTACTGAATTTTCTATTTCGTCCATACTACTTGCCTTTTTGGTAGCGTTTTGAACTTGGTTTCGTAATAAACATATTTTTAGCCCAGTGCAGAATGATTCGAATGTTAATAAACCGTCGTGTGATGCTACCTTTTGTAAACTTTCAATAACACCACGGGGTAAACCTTTAGTACGATCGTCGCGCCAACGATTTTCAATATCCGTAAGTTTTACACAGCCCGTATGTTTATCGTCCATTATATCAAAAAGTGTTCGCATAGCCGTAACAAATTGCTTAGGCAAGGACTCCATTTCTGTATATCTAACATGACTCAATGTTTTAATTTTATATCGATAAGCAACGGTCAACGGTCGCTACTTAATTACAACATAAACATTTACATAGTTATATGTTATATTAACCTAGATTCACATTACACTTAGTAACACTAAAAATTTGTGAGGTAAATAATTTTAACGACACAAGGGCTTATTCATTACTAAAAGTTTCTAGAATGTTGATGATAAGTTAAACGACCATTTTTTTGTCACATGTGAAAAAGTCCGACCGTTTGTTGAACTGTAAATACGTACGATGTGTTAGCGAACCGGCTTCACTGTGGGAGTGATTTTGCGGATTGTACGACAGCACGAAAACCGGTCGGACAGCATTTCGGACAGGTAGGGACAGAATCATTGCTTCACCACTGATTGTCTAGCTTTTGTAATTTTTTATTAAATTTGTTAATAATAGCACTCATCGCAGGCTGTGCTACGCAGCCCTAGCATTTTGTATTAGGTACGCATGTCGATTTGGTTGATAGTTTTATTATTACAAAGCAATCAACATTTACTGTTTAAAATATTGTTCCTAATGTGAGCTCCTAATTCAATAAGATTTTTGTTTAGAAAGAAATACATATATGTACAGCGATTAACGATATGTATTTATAAATAAAACATAATACAAATCTTAATCTGAAAAAATATAATTCAAATATGTACATTCTAAGTGCATAAAGACAGCAGAGTGGTTGCAATCGAATATCAAAATCCATAATTGGCACACTACTGGATTATTTCCATAGATAGTGATAATAATTAATAATTAAATTAACCGCTTACAGCTGTTAAACTTTTCGCGAAGTTTTTTGAAATTTTACGTGGTGTTGCTAGTGTAATGCTGGAATGCAGTAGCAGTTAGATTTTAGATTTTATATACTCTTTGTTTTAGATTCTTATAAGAATAGTTGTTAATATTCAATATTATATGGCTATAAAAAAGACAAAGGACAATATAACTGTATTGTATAATTTATTTTTCTCTCAAAAAATATATCAGGACCAGGGAATAACACTGCTTTCACAAATTAGGTAGCATGGACTGTGCGATAGCAACTTTTTAGTTGTCTAATATAGATTGAAAAAAAATTTTTTTTTTCGAGAACCAAATAGTACTATCCAGATCTAGTAATGGTAACACTGTAAAAAATGTGATAATGTGACGTAAAATGTCAAACAAACGTAAATCAACGAAACTCGACTACTTGTTAGATTTTTAGAAATCGAAATAATTCAAAATATATTTGTGGTGGTAAAGATTTCGATACACTAGTTTTATGTTACCTTCATAATGTCTACAAGTCAAGATAAATCTCATGATGTTATTGAATCTAATGGTAATTTGAATAAAGAGGATACTAGAAAGACTTGGGTGAAATTTGATGATGAATCTCCGCAAACTAATGGTCATCAATCTGAAGGAAAAGTATCTAATACGCCAAGTACTTCTCTAACTGTTCAACAAGAAGTTCCTGCAGTTTTAGATACGGAAACTGTGCATGTTAATTTAGAAAGAGGAGACAGAAATCTTGAAAACACATCACATGGAAATCTCACAAAAAATGTAGAATTTGTGAATATACGTTCCGGTTTTTGTAAGTAGTTATACCTTATTAATTGACCTAAAATATTAGTAGAAAATATACTTTTACTTTGTTTTACTTGAATATTTTTAACCACTTATGTCTTTCAAAATGTCATATGTAAAAATAAGTTAGAAATTTAAAGTTAATTAATTATGTATGAATAGTTTTCATTTACTTATATTAACAACAAATAATAGCCTTGACTTTTTTTTAAATCCTATAAGAATTTTCTTAAAACCTTATAATTTTAAATTTTTCTTCATGACATCAAAGTCTGTTCAATTTACAGCCAATGGTGATCTGCTAGTAACAGTGTTGCCTGTGAATGCAAGCTGGCCTTGGATAACGGCAGCTCGGTTTAGACCTGAATTAGTACCTGAGGAACTAATGGCTCAAGGTTTAACGGTACGTCCAAAATTAATACTTTTTTGACATTGTTTCCTTCTTAATAAAGGGGGAGCAATAGTAAGATTTTACTAAAGAAGCTATTTTTTTTTAAATATGTTTGTTTCAGCTTACGGTTGAAGAATATGTTCATGCAATGGAACTTCTTGTAAATGATGCCCGTTTTACACTATACAACATTTGTTATAAACGTGTCCTTGTTTGTTGGATAACTTTGGCATTTGTGGTGCTTCTATCCCTTCTCTTCTCTGGTTTAACTGGCCTGACACTATTTTCTCTAGGAGTACTATGGTTGATACTCAACGCTATGGCCATTTTCCTCTGCATGTGGATAAAGCTAAGACTGTCAAAGGGCTTGGAGCAGTGCTTGGGTAGTGTTAACAAGTTACTTACTAAGCATAATTTATTACTGGCCTTAGATGACAGAGGAAAAATTTCATGCCACAAAGTGAACTTGTGCTTTATATATTTTGATTCTGGTCCATGTATTGCTCATATTCAACAATTTATTGAGAGTGAAGAAGGAAAAACTATTATGCAAGGATGGGAACAAAGACTCGATGTAACTGTTAATGACATTGTGATACAAGGAAGTCAGTCTACAAGACTATCCAGGAAACAGGTATGATTTTATAGTATTTTCTTTATTTGCTTTAAAATAGAAAAGGAATTCTACTATAGTATCTATAGCAGATAGCTCCCTTAGTGAATGAAGGAGACACCAAATTTGTATTTATTAATTTTTTTGATAAGTATTGTCCCTGGTTTATAAGACTTTTTCCAATGTTTTTTTTCAAGGTCAATAGTTTTAAAATATTGGTTAACATACTGTATTGTGAAGGTTTGTGCTAATCATCTTTTGAACATATGCACTGAAATATTTATATGATAAGATAAATATAAAATAAAAATTGGATTTGAAATATATTACTATCGGTCAATACAATTTTACCATAGAAAGTGTTTTACAATTTAAAACACATTTTAATTCAATATGCAATGCCATATCCTTAACATTCTTCATATATGGTTATTTTAACAATAACTAGTCATAGTTCTAATTTGCTAACCAATTAATACTGTCAATTGGTGATTAAGGTGTTACATAAAATGGTATAAGGGCACTTTTTAACATATTTTATGTTATATATCAATCAATTGTTGCTTATGGTGATATTTGAGATATTTATATGGTTATAAACTTGATTTGTATATTAAACAATTATTTAATTGTATTCCTTAACCGTCGTAATTTGCTTGGCTATGTGTGCAGTACTTATATATTAATCATACTAATATTAACTAAATAAAATCAATAATACTACATTTTCCGAGTTGTAAATTGACATAATAAAGACTAATCACCCGTGTTATTTCTACACGAAGGGTTTCCTTACGCATAGATACTACAGTAAGTTTAACTCGAGTTTAAAGTGAGTGAAGCCATTTTATATAAGATAAACCATAACCAATTTAGGAATTTTTATTTATAGATATCTGACACAAAAGAGGTAGCTCAGTTTGTGGGATAATAGAAATAAAAGACATATACACATACAAGTATAAGATAAATGTTGAAGTATCTTTTTTAATGTTTATCTCAAAATCCTTAATTGAATAACGTACACATGTATTTACTAGCGTGTCTTGTTATGTTTTCACTTAACTCTCTGATTCATTATCGATTCTGTTATGCAGTAGCTAGTCTACGCGTTCATTTTGTTATCGTCGTCGAGACATTGCGGCGGACTAATAAAACCTTGATGAGTACGGCCTTGGCGACTTCGTTGTGTTGCATACTAAGTATGTTAAGCATCTGCCATTCGTTTCGTGTTACTGAACGCAGATACTTGATATTATATATGATATGTTTTTTTTCCAACTAGTTTCGCATGTCGATAATAGTATGTAGTAGAAAATACTTTTCTTCCCATTTTTTCCATTTATATAACTAACTCAAAGTTATACGATGTTATACTAGTTGTTATGTGACGGCTTTACATATTATGCATGTAAATATTATTATTGTAATTTACATAACCATAGAATTGTATAATTTTTATATTTCCATGTGAAAGATACATCTGATTTCGCACACCGATAATGTTTAAAATACTTGACGTTCTTTATAAGTCGCGTGTCAACGTCGATAAGCCTGAGGAACAACTTATTTCATTACCTAACTATATTTTTATAGTATAAAGTGGCAAATCCACCTGCAATGTTTTCTACGAATTATGAGTCATGACGTAACAATTAGTATATCATATAAATGGTATAAGTCACATACTGTTTGTGTTACGAGGCTTGCTGACGCAAAATTTACCTGACATTTTACATACTTCGTTGCTTCTATTAACATTTTCCTAATATGGGCGTCCTAAAAGAAGTAATAAAGTAGTATATATCTTATAGCTCAATATATAATGCTAATAATATTATTCTAATATATACCGTCCTGCATGCAATTTAACAGGTTTCGTTATATGTTTTGGTAATAAGCACCTAATATATATGTATATGTAATGTAGAGGTGGGTAAGCTGGGTGTATAATGTGCAGGATATGGCAGAGCACGTGTACCTCCGGTACCTACAACGCTGGGGCAAGGACTTTTTGCGGCGCCGTCTCTACTGGACGCTGGACGAAGAGGGCGGCAATCCCGCGGCGCCGCGCCACTTGCCCCTCGCACTGTGCCCCTGTCAGTACGTCGAGGAAATATTGCGGAACAAAGAGCCCAAAGATACGCGCGCCTGTTGCCCGCCTTGTAATGACTGGCTCAGGCGCCGCGGTATCGATTGACTAAATTACATTGGCAAGTCATCTTTACATATAACACAAAAACATACCTTTCTCGAACATTTGTGGATTTAATAGTGTATTTTGCGTTTTGTCTCGCACAGGAAAGGGCTGCGCTTCTTTTTTTACGATATGCGGGACGATGGGGAGCGTACGCCGTCAAAAACCGGCTAAATCTGAGCACATTGGTGGCCGGCCGCCACGGAGAGAAATACGTTTGTCCATGCCAATTTATTGAAGAACATCTTAAAACTAAACCACCTGCGGGTATTGCTAAATTTTTCATGTTACCCAACCAAAATAATCAGTTCTATTAAAACATGAAAATACTCCGTCCAAAAACGAATCTTGAATGTCTATCACAATTGTTAAAATATCATCATAGGGTAGTTGTTAGAGATTGATTCCATACCTTTACACGACATTTAAACATTTGTTATGTTGTATGATGTTTATTATGTTTTGAAATTATTTTCAATTAAAATAAGAATATGAGTAGAAAAGTTTTAATACCATATCGAGGATAATATTAAAAGGTGAGTTTATGGTTATTGCACAAAGTACTTAATCATAACATGTTGTAGATTATACTAACATGTATGCATTCGAATTTAAATACATATAAAAATAATTTTAATGATCTTATTTGTAACTCGTATATTGTATACAATTGTTATTTAAAAAGTAAATTTCGTGGACCATTTATGAAAAGATACTACGCATGTGTTCTTTCCTTAATATCTCAGAAAGGTTAGTTTCGTGAAATACAAAAATTATTTGATAAATATTTTAATTATACAAAATTGTGAAATTGCATACAAGAACTGTCTGCACAAAATCTAAGCTGCCATACATAAAACTTCTGTTGTATCTACATGTATTTTACTAAACGTGTAATCTTCATATACATAGATTTAAGATTATTTATTAACTTGTTACCTATATATCACAAGGTCATTAACATCGCCCAAATTTTTACATAAAAGACAATTTAAACAATTGTGCAAAAGTTAATTAAATATCATATAATAAGGAACTAATTATTTTCATACATATTTTTTTAATGTAGGTAAGTAAATAATGTTTGATTGTACAACGGGTAAAAATAACATCACACGCACAAATGTTTAAAGAAGGTTCGAATAAAAATAATTATTTATTGCAAAGTATTTATTTCAATTATGGAATATGAAATCACAATAATTCTAGTCTTCGTGAAATTGATAAATGATAAGTAAAGCAGGCTAAATAAATATCAAATTCATTTTCAAATAATTGGAAGTCAATGTTTAACAAAATGTGGTTATTCGTGTTTACAATTCTCATATTCATAAAGTAAGCCAAAGCTACTAAACTATTTTATTATATTTTTATATAGGCAGAGATCTGATTTATATGATTGCATTATAATTAATATATAGAGATCATTCCATGTTTTTAAGATCTCATGTATTGACATCAGGTAACGTAATTATGGGTTAAACATTGTTTAAAATATGGAAATTTATTTAAACGTATATCGCTTTCGCGTTTCACGTGTTTACAATCATGGTTGCAATATTTTAATTTACTGTTTTCTTTTGTTGGCTGTAAATCCTGGAAAATAATAAATATCTGATGTTTGATGTTAAAACATGTTTAATGGATAAAATGAAAATGTTTATGTGTGCCATTAAATGTGGGGACTACGGTTGAATTCAGCCGCTTGCTATGTGGGCAATCGATTTTATTAAGTTCAATATTGCAACGTATTTTTTTTTATTTTATTAAGTAATAATATTCTGTCCATTATTAATACTATTTTCGATATTATAATTATCCTAATCCTTAAAAGATTAACCTTAATATTTATATTGCTAACTGGCCATAAATTCCTGATGGTCCTTCGATTTGTTAGTTTTTTCATTTAGGTATTTTGTAATCGTTCAGTGCTCGAATTTTTTTATCTATTGTACTACCGTAAGAAATAACATTTGAGGAATTTGTATTTGAATTGTCGAGCGGTTATAACATATGAAACATGTGTAAAAAATAAGAAGAGTGGATGCGAAGTGCACGCGGGTATTGTATGACCGGAACACTCGCATAAAGCCAGGATGCCGAGTTTAGATTCTTTGATAAATGGTAAATTGATTTGTTCCGTGCAAGTATTGTTGGGTTCATTTGGTACATATCAATGTTTTGTTTTTATGCAGATAAAAAGTTTATAGGTAGCTGTGTTGGGGTCAGTAAAAATGTGTGCTAACGCAAATTATTCTTGATTCTAATATTGTGCCAAGAAGGCGTTCAATGCCTTAAAGTTATGTAAATATTTTCACATTATTGTCCCATATAACATATCTATATGCATGATATTTTTTTCCTAATATATTTTATCTCTGAAGGTGGATACTAAAAATATTTACTTAATATGTATTCAATTATATTTTAAGATGAAGTATTTTATATAATTTTATTTTTTTACCTACGTAAACTTATGTTGTGATTGTATTAGAAACATTCCGTCCTATGTAATCGAAGTACTTAATAACTAGAGTAGTAATTATATCCTTATACACGTCTGTATCCTAAGTATTTATTTACAAATATACACTATCCTTGAATAGAGATTTTTATTTTCCCAATAACATATCCTAATATTATACTTGTCGAAGTGGAAGACCGTTTGAAAACTTTGTTCGGCATGGCGCATAATAGACCAAATTTGGATCACTCAGTCAAGACAATTATATTCCTTCAATGGTGAGTATCTGAGACCAAAATCCAAGTTATAAACATATTGTTATGTTTTATCAAAGCTGAAAGATGACCAATAGAATATATCGTCAAATAAAGACGTCTTTATTTGACGATATGTTCTTTACAGATTATAATGTCAGAAACCCGTGATTAGACGTATTTCATTCTCGTTTGAATTTTTCATATCAGTCATCTAAAGTTACAGTTGATAGACAAATTAATTCAAAACTAAGATAAGCCTTACATAACATTAAATGATGGAAAGATAGTTGGCATGTGTTTTATTTTAAAATTATTATTTAAAACAAGGCATAGCGTGCTGCATCGATACTCACCTTTTGTATCTTTTCTTACATGAATGTTACCTTTTTACGGAAGATCATGTATCCTTTTGGTACAGACATGTTACACAAACAAAATTCGCATAAATAAGAGAATAAAAGAAATTTATCTTTGGCAGAGGTACATAAAATTTATTTAAAAATAATGCTGTTTATTTTACAATATGAAATATATCACAGTTGGTATAAAGTGTTACGTATACAAAAATTAATTATAATATTGTTATTTGAAACTTATATAAAACTGGTAACCAATAACTAAATTAAGAATACGGAACGTAGCAACATTTATTTAATGCCAAAAAATTCCACGCATTTTACCTTTTTTATTTAAAAAAAAATTACGATTGAGTTATTTCATGTTCAATAACAAAAAGAAATAATTTCAATTTTTATTTTACGTTAAATTACTATAGAAACATTAAAAAAAAATGATAAGTTATGCAATTTAATAATTTCAAGAACTACAACAGTTTGATCGTACATAATATTAATATTTAGCTGGCAAATAATACGTAACAAGATACAATACTTTTAGCAATAATTTATAATGAAAAACTTATAATATCAAATGTAAGAACTACAAAAGTGTCAAAGTATAACAAAGCCATGAATGAAATACGTAAGCTACATACAAATTATTTAAAATTGAGCAAATTTAATAAAAAAAAGAAATATATTTGAATAAAGCATACAACCCAGATTAATATTAACTATCTCTACGCGACTTCTTGGGCGATCCCTTCGCCGCATCGCCCGAGGGGAAGAGACCGAAAAATGATTTTCTTTGTTCTTTAACTTGGGACTCTTTCTCGATGTTCATAATGATGTCTCTGTTGCGTTTTAAATTCCTGTCACTGAGATCGATGGAGGAGGCGAGAGACTCTAGCGAGGTGACGGTGGAGTGCTGCTGCAGATGTTTACGCACGTCGAGGTCGAGGTAGGGCTGGTGGGTGGGCTCAAAGCTACTTTGCGAGGTGGAGGAGGCGCCGGACGGCGACAACTCCTCCATGGCGGCCAGCGTCATCAGCTCCCGCTGCGACTCGCGCGCCTCCACCAAGAATATGCTCTCCTGTTAGTGCAACAACTTAACTCAAACAAAGCGGAACTTGTGCTTATAAAACTAGCGTTTCCACTACGCCAAGCGAAATCGTGAAATATGTAAAGTTCATCTATAAGTGAGTATATTGAAGTTTTTAGCCATAAAAAGTTTGAAAGGTTTATAGACATGAGTGCGATCGAGCGGATTGAAGTCGCGAACAAACAATATCATCATGGATATAATTTTAGAAGCTTAGGCAAAAACAAGTAAAAATTACTTCAAAAGTCAATGAAAGTCAATTCAAACATGCTTATCCACATTAAATATTTGACTAGGCCTAGAACATTTCAGCCTACTTTTTAGGCGACTTCAAAAATAAGGTTATAAATAGTAATAGTTATATATATAAATTCAATGTGACGAAATAAATGTATGCATCAGTTACCTTTACTTGTTTTGTTGTGAATTGATCGAGCTTGTCATAAATCACGGCGTGTAGTCCCATCTCTTTCAATTTTTTTATAGTATTTTTGTCATTATTATCATCGCCCCAGCAAAATATGACAAGTCCGGCGTCAGTAGCAAGTTTTACCTGAAAATTGTTGAAATGTAGTTTTTTGTCTTCTGTTTTAAATGATGATATGGTATTATTGTATTTTTTTAAGTATGGATCACTTTTTGCCTATCACTTTTCTGGTGTATTGTGTAAAATATATTTCGAAATGTAATGTAATTCTTGCAATTGACCGTGGCATAATTATGAAATATAATTACTATTACATGCAATATACATGTTTGTTAAACAAAATAATAAAGAACAATACAATCTACATCTATAGTTCAAACAATCGTTAACCTTGAAGCTTGGAACAGATAAAATTCATTCACGTGACTAAACTAATATTAGCGCAGTTGTAAACGTTATAATACTTCGCAGTTGGAAAAGTACCTTTATTCTATACAACTACGCTTAAAACTTGTTTTATTTCTGAATACGAATGACTAGAGAAATGATGATAAGGCAAAAATACTACTCGAGCAAATATTGATATAGCGCTAAGTTTTATATAACTTTGCTCTTACTAATTTCAATATGTATTGAAGCAGACAACGCCATCGTCATAAACCTGCTCTTATTTCTATGCCAGGTCGGCATATTATGTACTAAACCTCCATACAGCTATCAGCCGTCATATCTAAATCCACCAAATTCTTACGCAGACCCTCTTTCACACAATCCATCCATACTTGTAGACAGCGTCATTAATGCAATGCGAAGAATAAAAAATAACTATTATATATGATTAATAATTATAATGTTCCTTAAATTATTGATAATTTTGTGTAAGCTTAGTGTTGCCTTTAACTTTTTCTTTCGCAACAGTGAAATTTGAAAACGACTACTGTAATACAGACACTACTCAGTCTTTGTTAACGCAAAACTCTTTGGTTATGAGCAAAAGCCCTGCGTATCACGGGGTGAATGTCCTTTTATATGGTTCACTCACATAAACTTGCAAGTAATTAGCGCCTTGTTCACCACGATTTGCACGTGCGTTAAGATAAATAAGGCCATTATTCGATTAATCGGGTAATAAACTCCTGACCCTGTGTGTTAACACACTGTCAGTGCGTATTATTCAAACATTTAGAGTTTATCAAAAGACTGCCTGTCAACTACAAAAATTTGAGGACATAAAATTAATTGATTATTAGAAAAATACAAACATCAACATTTTTTTTGCAATTATTGGTTCTATAATGACTGGTTTCAGATAAATAATGGAATTTTGTAAGGAATATAACGGAAATTTGTCTTACCTGAGTAGGATCTCTCAATAAATCTTCAGTGTGAACCACAATACCTAGAATATCAGAGCTGATGGCATTCTGTACGGCTGCAGGGATGGTCAAACATCGCGGATCTCTGTATGGCTGATATTTGTTTGTAACACCCTTTAATTAATAAAAAAAAAGAATAACACATTATTTTAAATTAGAATGTTCGATACAACTTTATTTTTAAAGAGTTCACTTACGTTACATTTTATTACAAACAGGAAAATTTGTATTTTTGTATGAAAGAAATGAACTCAAAAACTATTAGACCAATTTCAAAAATTCGTTCTGCATTAGAAAGATTTATTATCAATGAGTAACATAGACCATATTTATTAGCATTTATTTTTAAATTTCTCACAGACAAAGATGAGGCCAAAAGCTAATAATTGTTATTATAAATATAAAACATACTTACAACAGTTAAAAACATCACTGGATACTTATTCTGTTTGTTACGGACCATTGTGCAAATGTCAGGGTTAAAACAAGAAAATACAATACGACGTTCGCCTGCATTCTTTAGAACTACTTCCAGAACCTATGCAATAAAAACATTTTTAAATAAAATGATTTTTAGTTTCGATTAGATGGAAAAAATCATCAAAATCAAAAATGAAATAGTACAATAAAATAACAAAAATATTTTAAACAAAAATGTATCAAGTTAACTTATCAGCATGTCTCAAAATGTTTAAATTTCCTATAAAAAATGTCATGGTATGTTAATTTGGGACAGCTTGTTAGGATGGAAAGAACATTATTATTGTCATTCACATATTTTGTTAAATCAATTGTTTTGTAAAAAATACCTTATCAACATAAACATTCATGTCAAATGGATTGTTCAGTTCAAATGTGCCATCATTCAATTCCATTGTCCACTTTAGTTCAATATTAAATCCAACATGCAGGTCAATGCTTTTTAATGTGTCTTCCAATGTAGGGAATGGTTGATGCTCTTCTAAATCATCATCAAAGAACAGAATTTCGTGGTTACGACCTTCTACTAAATGGTAAACCTAGAAAGACAAAGAAAACTTTACTCCTTTGATTATAAAAAAAGACAAAAGAATTTAAAATTCTTTTGTTCTTTACATTCATTTTAACCGTAACCATAGACTTTCAAAATACAATTTCACTATTTAAAATGTTATGGCTTAAATTACTGACTCTTTTTAAATCGTAATAAAGTAATTTTGCGCCATTTTAATGGCAATACTAACTTTTAACCAGGATGACATGAAGGCACAAGACATTTGATCTACATTACACAAAGTTATACCTTGAGTTTTTGCAGATGCTCCAAAGTAAGATCCTTGACAGGCAATTCTAGCATTTCTGCAAAATCAACCTCCTTTTTTCGTTTCATTGAAATACATACATGAAAGTCATGATATATGACTGGGATCATATCTTTACTTAGCTGAACATCAAATTCCAACAAGTCTGCCCCACTGGCAGCCGCTTGTTTTAGGGAAGCTATTGTATTTTCACGAATAGCATTTCCTCTGAAAATAGTTTCAATATAGAGCGCACTCAAGCCAATGCCATACATTCTTAGAAGGCGAAATATGGTTCATTGATATTGATGCAGTCATATTGAGTAAAAGTCATCACTGGTAAAATTTAAAGATTTTGCAATTTATTGAAATATGGCAAACATAAATAAATAATAAAGGAATATACTATAAATTTTAAATAATAATGCTATTACGATAACTTACTCTTTAGTTTTAAAACTTGCACCCAATCCACGATGACCAACTTCCAGACCTGTCCATGTAGGATCCCAGTGTTTTGCATATGACACTTGCAAGTTGCAGATGTTTTCCTTTAGCGGATGGACAATAAGATATTCAAAATTTACAGTACCAAGAGGTCTATGTTTAACATTACAAGTTACTGGTAACTCCAAGGCACCTTCAGATGGTTTAAACATATTTGGAAGAACATATGTGTACCCAACATGATATGGAGGATCATCCATGGCTGCACGACTGCTGTGTGAATAGAAGTCAATAAGGTAGGCTAGGATCTTATGATCTGAGGCAAACACATTAATAAGAAGGACATCGTTAGCTCTATATTCTCTACCGAATTGTGCTTGTGGTTGTAACTGGCAAAGTTGAGGATCATTGTCGAGTGTGGATACTTCTACATTGACTCCTAAAGGACTCTCTCCCTCTTGTGTGTCTGTACTTTGCGAGTCCTCATGATGACCTTCAGTCCCAAATGACAAGTTAACTGGTGTCACTTTAATCAGCATTATTCTGTTTGTAAGGCGACTCTTCAATTTCAAAGGTTCATTCATGAACTTAAATTGGACTAAAGTCTGAGATGTAAGCCAACCGCGATTAATTTTTTGATCACCTTTAAATTCTCCAAATATATCTGTGGAAGGACTTTGGGCATTTTCCTTAATAACTCTGGGATGGATGTTGACCTCCCACCTCCTAACAATTATATTTTTTGTATCTTCATTGACTAGACATATGGCGTAACGATAAAAAACATCACAAGTGTTAGGTATTGTTACTCTAGTACTCCATAAATCTGTACCTTCTTTAGGTTCCAGTGGTACAATCTTCTTTACATCCCATTCACCCAGTTCTGCTGTACTACCAGACAGATAAACCCGTTCTTTTGGACCTAAATTAGGAACCAAAACGGTAAACACCCATTCTTGGGACATAACTAGATTTTCAAGTTTTTCTTTTTGAGCAGACATTCCTTCGATAACCTTAGGTTTATGTTTTTTCACTTTCTTTTGTTCTTGCAAGAAAAACCAACGTTGCATAACAAGATTTATTATTTACAAGATCAAAATGAAGAATATAATACTAGATTATCGAAATTAACTAAATTGTAAAGAATAACAAGACCATTTTACAACCTGTCTGTTGTTTCATAAAACACACAAAAAGTATTTAACACTAACTACACTTTGAGGTAGTTATTTATCAAAAGGAAAAACATAATTATTGAAAAAGATGAAACTGTCACACAACCAAACACTTGATTTTGCAAACGAAAAATCAATGAATCAATCAAAGAATATAAAACGACCACTATAGCGTGTCTATTTAATATATAGTGTCACCAAATTATCTGTGAACTGACGGGTGTCGCGGTCGTCGTCTCAGTGTTGCTAATTTAGTCCAATGTGCACAAAAGTCGGAAAAGTCGACACATTATTTCACGAACAAAAAATAAATTTATTCAATTTTTTTAACTAATTTTGCGATACATAGCCAAATAAATTCAAAACGTTATAAAATATCTAATTTATAGTAAGTAATCTAATTTACAGTATAGTAAAATATATAATATGTATTTGTTCGATTAATATTATTACAGGAGCGATTCTCAATAGTTCGTAGTTGTTCGTAATACGCGTACGGCGACACTACGACAACTATCTATTAAGTCCTCATTAATCCTTATACAAAATTAATTTGAAATTTCATAGGACAAAGTTGCCTAACTAATCTATCTTAACACTATACCAATAATTTTACTTATGTTCAAAGAGCGTACAACTGACAATCAGCATGCTCGTAGTTTCGTGGTTTCTTTCTTCATTCTTGTGACTATTTCGATCAACTAATAAAGGGATTTTGTCCCACAAGAAGATTAAAATACGACCAGTCATCATTTACAATTTTGCGGCGCGGATTTCAAAGACAAATCGCCTTTGATGGCAGCACTGCTGATAACTCGCCATGGCGATAAAGAAGCACATTGTTGCCATTTTCATAATTTATAAATTCCATAAAAATATTACGCATGCCGATATGTGGGTTAATTTACTTATATGTTAGGATGTAACAGATTTAAATAATAGAAAAATACTGCGAGGACTTAGAGCTTAGATGCAAATCAATTGCTTGGAGGGTCGACTTTTACGTTTAGGTGCCAATGTCAAAAAACTGCTATAAGATTTAAGATTCGTGCGCACTGACCTCTATCAATGAACTGGCTATTTAGACGTTATATTTTGTACCTATTCGATTTTCGCGCTGATGGTAGCGGTTTGTAGTGGTGGTGTGGTTTCGAACTATAATTACATATATAGATAGAATGTTAATTCTACAGTTGTCACGTTACATCAACAGGCACGGTTAAAACGGAACAAAATAAAAACTGTCATTTCCAAGCAATCACCTATCAATTTATAAAGATCAGTGTCCTTGTGGCACTATAACAAACTTATATCGTCTCATTTTGACAGTTGAGAAGTTTTATAACTCCTTTTTTACTGCAAATGTAATAAATTATATTGCTTAGGATTGGTTATAAAATTAATAATATAATAATGCTATGTGTTACATAGCCTATAGAAGAAATTGACTTGTTTTTGATACAATCCACTTAGAACTTGACTTTAAATTCTTGATCTTTACTTTATAACCGTATAGAAAATTAAAGGATAGGAAAGGTTACAATGAACGTAAGCAGTAACAGTATATATTTTTATTACTTGCACCAAGTTCGTAAAAAGTTTTAACCATAATATTTACATTTTTACATTAATTATTTACAAATTTACATTAGCAGTCTTATTTGGACCGGCTCGGTCTTTAAAATAAATCTTATTAAAATAATGTACCTATAATTTTGTACACATGGTTACTGCATGTTTAAAGGAGCCAAACACATCAAAAAGGACAATTAACACCAGGATGGAGGAAAGTGCAATTGTCACCTTGCCTACACGAACCCTTTCTTTGGAAATACATACACACAACTTTTCTATTACCACGCGCATGTCCCCCACGACCTCTCTGAGGTCCCTCCCAATTTCCTACACCTTTACCCCTCCATCCACCGCCACCTCCACCACGACCTCGCATAGCACCGCGGAAATTACCAGGGCCGTTAAAACCATCTGGTCCAGGAGCTGCCTGTGGCCCTGCCATGTTAAAGTCCATGGGAAACATGTTTTGCTGCATATTAAATCCTTCAGGTGGCACTGGGAAAAGTGGATTAGGTGCACCAAACATTTCTGGACCCATCATCATGTTTTCTGGGGGCAACATCATTCCAGGAGGCATATTGCCTGGGGGAATAGGTCCTGGTGGAAGACCAGTCGCCGCCATCGGTCCGGGAATTCCATTTGGCATCATGTTTGGTGTTACTCCATTTGGCCAATCAGTAGGAACCATGGGTGCAGCTTGAAACCCTGGTGGTACGCCTGGGAATTGCGTACCAGGGAAATTTGAAGGAAATTGCGGCATATTTGGTGCAAACATTGCAGATACATTTATGTTCGCGTTTGATGAAGGTGGAGCATTTCCCTTTGGTTCAGGCCATGGCATATTTCGAAAATCACTTATGTTGTCTTGATTGCCAGTAACATCCTCTAATGGTATAACTGCTGGTTCTGAGTAAGTGTGAGTTTCTACGTCTGGTTCATGCGGTGAGTCGGGAATCATTGATTTGTGGAAGTAAAGTGGCTGCAATGTACCTTTCTGCCGAATTGCTTGTATATCTTTTTCTTTGCTATTTTTACCGTATTCAACTTGTATTTGACCATCTAAGTCAATGGAAATTAATGGTTTCCAACTTGTTCTTTCTTCCATTACATCATCATTACTGAGATTGCGTCCTTTTTGGAAAGCTTCTCTTTCGTGAATTCTTTCTAAATATTTCATGTCAGTAAATGTTTTGGTAACATTTACACGTTCTGTTTCATCTAGTTCGAAATACTGTATTTCCTCTAATTCTGAATCCGGTCTCCATTTTATGCTTTTCTTTGGACCTTTTCTTTTATGATAACAAAGGACACCTTTCAATCCATTGACTGTAAGTGTACGGGGTTCCGAAACATCCATTTTTTCTTCTTTGTTGTGTTCGACATCTTGATCGAGATTAGTTTCCTCATTACTATCACCATTTTTTTCTGGAGATGCTTTACTACTTTCTTCTGTGTCTAGAGTATCTTGATAAAATCTTGGGGGCACTGATTTGCTTTCACTATTAGGACTTGCAACAGTAGTTGGTGTATGAGGTGGGGATGAATCATTTGCCACGTTACCATCTTTGGATCCGCTGGTACGCCGTTTTCTTTTCTTGGGCTCTTTTTTATTTGTTGCAGAGGCATTTAGTGCATCCATGAACATATCACTCTCGAGCAACATCACAGCTGTAACAATAAAAAAGCATTTATTGTAAGCAAAATACCAAAAAGATAAATACTTAAAATTAGTACAACAGTTTTAAGTCAAAATGTATAGTCACGGGTTTCCAAAATCTTTTTTCTTATATTTTTAATATCAGTAAACGAGTAAATGTAAATTCAACTTCATACTCATAAAAATGATTGTTGTAGCATTAGTACACTTCAGACCCCAATAAATCGTTTTTTTACTTAAATCTTAGCCTAATCTTATATATAAATTCTCGTGTCACAATTTTCGTTCCCATACTCCTCCGAAACGGCTTGACCGATTCTCATGAAATTTTGTGAGCATATTGAGTAGGTCTGAGGATCGGCCAACATCTATTTTTAATCCCGGCGGACTGAGTCGCGGGCGACAGCTAGTAATCTAGAAAATCAAACTAATACCGAATTATACTCTTTATGTTGCGCAAGACTAATCGGTTTTTACAGAACCAACACACATTACATTCACTCTTCACTTTCCATAATTTTACAAATACTAATGTAATTAACGACAAATAACAGCTTTTGTGTTTTATTAGTTAACTATGTAAATACAGCAAATTCAGGTTATAACAATAACACAGCAGTGTCTTGTTTGGTATATATTGGGGTTCGATAATAAGACTTTTAATCGAAAAACGTAGTTACGTAATTATGTGAATCACCTAACATTGGTCGCTAAAGACTTATAATCTATTTTAACACTGATTAAGGATATCTCTTGTAAATACGAGCGACGTATTAAATATTAATCATCAAAAGATTCCAAAGCTAAGATCTTTTAAAGCTATAACGACAGTGGTAAATTAACAGTGTGTTAACTATCGATCGAAATATTTTATTGAGGTTCTGTAATATAATTGACATCACTATTGTTTTCAAACAGCTGTTCACAATTAAAAATGTATATAAAAAGTAATTATGCGGATTTATTTTGTGCCGACTTGAATAAAAGTATATAGACTATTTAAATTTATAAATAGATATATCGTTTGTTTGTATAAATGATTCAACGCAAATTTCTGTTAGTCTCAATGCGAGCATCAGACGAACACGTAAAGGCCGATGGAGTGCATTGCCCTCTGCTAGATCGCATCGGAAATGTGATCCGCTGTAGAACCAAAGTGATCGATAATGCACGAAGAATTGCGAACTGTAATGAATTCAAAAGGACACTTTACTCAAAATATTGACGACCTTTGGGGCACATTAGTCCATTGGCTGCTTGATAGAGGTCGTTGTAACGCAGGTGTAGGATTCCTACACGATGGCTAATGATCAGGTCCGTGTTGTAAGAGAGTGACCGAATGAGAGCGGCAGAGGACCCGGACCAGACTAAATTAAGGCAAACGCAATGATCTATAATTTTTATGAAAAATAGCCAATTTATTGTACGATCATATGTTAAGACCTTCAGGTGTAATTAATGTTATTATTGAATGTTTTTATGTTTTTTTCACGTAAAAAGTTGGTTAAGTAACCTATGACTTCTATCAGACATCTAAACCAAATTTCATTCAAATCCATGCGGTCGTTCTGAATATACAATAACAAACATGCACCCATCCAAACATTCGCACTCTTAATATTAGTACGATTAATGATAAATTGCTTAAGCAAATACTAAGTAATTAAATGTCACACTAGATTGTAAGCAGTTAATGAGTTCGCCTAAAAACTGCCGTACAGAGTGGCGGCATATTTTGATGGCATGATAATATGATATAATGCGTATAGCAGTGTTTGAATAAAAAAAATATCCGATGAAATAATCGCACAGCACATTACTATCGCTCGGTTGCACGACCTTAGATACATAATTGTGCCCAAAACATAAATTAATTATTCCGCGTAACAATGTCGCTAGGGCCAACGAGTTTTTACGCGAATAGACTATTTTGATAAGCTGGGGTTAGACATACATAAAAACAGATAAGCATTCAGTATCGATATCATCCGTGTGATTTAATGATTTCTATTTAAGTAAAACATTACTGGCATACATTTCTAGCGTTCCTCGCATCGGAGTGCTATGAATTAATATTTTTAATTATTGCCGGATGTGGCATCGATTTAATCTTATAGTACGCAAACATATGTGCAGCATGATAATCATAAACTTCTATTTAATATAATTCATATTGGCCTTTTTTATTAAATCTAAAAAGGGCAAGTCTGTCGTTATTGTGGTTAGAATGAGCTAAATCCAGACATTTCGTCCAATGTTTCGAAAATAACAAATAAGTAATGTATATTTACACATTGCAACTTAATTAAAATTTTAGCGTATGTTTTTATTATTTTTAATATAAACAGAGATTACGATGAATTAAGATTTTTAAACTTTGGAGTAACAAACTGTACAAACAATGGACCAGCAAAATTCCTAAGAAAGTATGATTATATATGAAAATAACAGAAACGATAAAGTTTTACATATCAACATTAACCAGGGAGAATAGTATTTGCGCAATTTTTAAAACCTTTTATGCAAACATATAAATAAGAAAAAATTAAAGCAACTCTTACATATTGGTAGAATTTAACTAATACAAAAGAACGTGCATGCAATAGTATGGCGTACGTGTAAATTTGAAAGCGAGAGATATATCACGACCGCATAATAAAAGTCTCAACATGTGCCGTGCCTATCACCGTAGGTCTTGGGAGTATTCTGTTAGTATTATTTAGCTTCCTTTCAACCAAATTTTCTTTTACTTTTTTGGCACCCGAGTGGCTGCGACTGGCCACCGTGGATCTGAAGGACTCGCATCCTGTCCGTAGGTAAGGGCCAGCACAATGCGAGGGTCCAAATGGAGCCTTTTTGTCTGTCAAAATCATACGACTTGATCTTAGAGCATGGGTGATTACGACAAGAGACAGAGAGAGAGAAAATAGTATAACGTTATGTTATTGCTGCATCGAACCCCAATTATTGAGTTGATTAGTCTTAAGCACTGCCACTAAGCTACCGCGTTATCTTTTACATGTTACTAATATGCGAAGGATCGGTTGTATGGATGTTATCACATAACTTGAGAACGGCTAAATGGATCTGAATGAAATTTTGAATAGGGACAGATCACAGTCTGAAATAATGTTTATGCAGTTAATTAAGCTAGTTAAACGTCAGTAAGGGAAATCGCTAAGTGGTAAAAAGCAATACTGGCCTTCCTACTACATTACGCACTATGCATGTATATTTTAAATTATATAATTAATCTACGGGTGTTATTTACGATTAGGTTGTAAACCGAAGCAAATCTTCCAGTTTCAAAAACGAAATCAGCAAGTACTATGTTATAGACCCGTCAATTTCAACAGTTGAGATCTATTTTATTAGAATTACTTTGATAAAGTATAATCATTGACAGCGGAGTCATAAATCACGATGGTAAATAAGATAGGCGTTAAAGTAGTACATATTACTTTTAGTACCTATTTCGGTCAATATTTAGTTAATAGTATATATAACTGCTTTTTTAGGTTTAAGAAACTCTCGTCTACAATTTAATAAAAACAAGTCTTAGCGGACCCCTTATCGATTGAATTACTTTATTGTGGATTATTTCGAAAACCTTTATATAATTTATTGAATTTAGCCGTAACTTTCGTTATAATATCGGCATTTTGTTTAAGATCTGTATCTGATCCCCTCTCTCTCTTTCTCGTTACCCACCTGTAATCTTTATAATTTTCAATTGCTTTTTCTACAAATTACGTTACAGACGGACTCCATGTTTAAATTAAATCTTAGATTAAAAATAAGGAGCAAGTGTGGTTCAAATAGCTGATGTAGTCAACTTTCATTTATTCACAACATTCGATTTTTACTTTAATATATCCTCTTTCGGATGAACGCTAACAGCGAGTTTCTGACACCAAAAGCGCTGTACAAAACATATCGTCATCCCAGTCATTATCTTTGAAAAAAACAGAGATACGAATATATTTTAAACTAGAACTTCTGGTCTCGGAAATTCATGGTAAATCTTTTAAATTGTTATATTTTATATTTACACCGAAATGTTACTTGTGAAAATGTGCTATACCGACTTTCCGCTGCCGTAACACCTGTATGAAAACATATTGTTATCTTAGATTTTTCAACCATAATAAGCGGGACGACACTATGTTTTGCTATGTGTGTTTTGGCGGCGGAAACGCATAGTGATGGTTTTTTTAAGTCTAATGTTAGATGAGTATGTCCGAAATATTTCATTGCAATTTACGAGTTTTAACGTAAAAGTGCCGTGTCCACATTTAGCCTTTCATTTAGAACAAGGGTATGTGTAGTTACGCGAATAAGCCTTAAAAACGGACATATAGGGAAAAAGCCGGCAACAATAATATTTTATTTAAGTATTAATTTTTCAATCCGATATTTTGGTGAAAATTTATTGAAACACTTAAATTGTTTTTAACAAAAAAAGGTTTGAAGGATGCGAATGGCTTAATGTTCACCTAACTTTTATTAAAATCTCCAAAAACGTTTGACAAACTGGTGCAAATTTGAACATCGTTTCTGTTGTACACAGACCGTTTTCTTTTTATCTTTGTATTTACTACATTGAGCAAGCGTTTTTGTTTAGCCATTTTTCTAGTAGAAACTTCTATGACATTCTCTGCACTTTACGCCAACTTTATTTTTTATAAAGCCATGCAATATTTCAATTCCACGTTTATTGTAAAGCAATAACAGACTTTGAATTTTGTGATATCTCTGTTACTACATAAACGAGGGCTAAGATTTTTCCAAATTCATTACTAGATTCCAAAAATATGGGTTCATAGTTTTTGTGTTTCAGAAGTAATTGACGATTAAACACGGCCATAAAAATATATAAAGAGAATGTTTCTATGCCAGGAAATAGCCATGTGAACGTATCGTAAATACATAGATAGCGATTTATTGCTTTTTCTCTTGTTTTTGTAGTAAAAATAGATATCGACAATTTTTAAAACGGACATCGCATTACAGCAAAAAATCGTTTACTTAGCACAATTCTAGATTTATTTATGTAAATTATTGCAAGAATACGGAACTAAAACAGTTTTTAATCAATTAGAAACCGATACCAATCCAGCAGTGGAAAATACGTGGTAAATAATTAAGAATAATATTCATAATACATTGACCTAGCAACAAACCGATATGGAATGTTTGAACTTTCTCCTTATGTCACCGGCAAATCGGACTCTGCCTTTTTGTTGATTTGCTAAGAAATATCGCGACTTCGCAAATTGCATATGGAACAATTTTATTTAAAGTTACGTATTACATTTCTGCACTGTGCGGCCAATTTAAACCATGGATTGACGATAGTGTAACTACCCAAGAAAATGGTAACTTTACAAATTACTGCAGTAAAGCCAGCCTAAGATTTGTCTAGGCGAAGTAAAAGCGGGCGATGTATACCTATTGTATTTCGACGTTACATGTATGCCATGTTTGCCGTATCGAAATATTTCTAGTATTCTTTGATATATATAAAGAATTATGTATTAATATGACAACTGTACGTATGTAGGTAAATCGTAAGGCCATTATTTCTTAAATTATATTACGAGTGTAACGTAAAAAATCTAACCTTTTTCTATCAATGTTGTTAATTTATTTTTGTCTCGCAATATTTTAGTATACCATCGGTACTCACAAAATAAATACGGTAATAGTTTGTTTTCTTTATAAATATGGGAAAGCGAAATTAAATAATAGCAAAAGGCAGACTTTTTATTCTAATATACATCTCTTGAGTTATTGCAATACCCCGACAAAATAAGTATTTTGGTTTTAATCGGTTGTCCTAAGCAAAATTATTTTTTTAGATTTGGGATAATTATTATAATTATCATTCAATCAACATATATTAATTGATTATTTATTCAAACGGATATTTTACGCCTATTTGATATACAACTGTATTTAATTAACACGAGAATATACAGGAAGCATCACGGAAATGCTTAAAATTATTTATGATTTACGTATATTTTCTTTCTAATAGGTTGGCCATAATTGAAATTTATATTTGTTGTGTACTTGCTATATATTTGAAAAATATCGTCTCAAATTATATTTATTCTATACGCGTGCCTACACTATTCTGCCCAATGAAATACCAGTTTGAGGCAGCAGCTAATATACTAAATAAATTACATTTTCATAGGTACACATTACCTACCCACTTTATTATTTTAATTTACTTATATATTCTCAGAAACGTTATACTCGTCATAGTTGTTAAATATTGCATCCAGTTTGTCAGATACGTATAAAAAACAGTTCTCAAGAAATGGTAAAACCCCATACAAACATCTCGCATTCAAAATCCATTAGAACTTGATGAAAAGATTATGAACGATGAACTCGTTTGGTACAATTAGTTGCAGAATAAAATAAAGATAGGGTCTAATATCCTGACATATTATTGATGCACTTATTTTGTGTAATTATCTATTTTGTTCAATTACAGTTTTCCTGTTGAACCGTTTTACTTTGTCCCCTGACGGACGGAACGTAGTCGACGACTCGTCTGTAGTACACGGTGTCCGATCTGTTCAGCCACATTCTTCGGGAGATGCAGTGTATTGCGTCGATGTTTTCACCTCATCGTGCTTCAAAGTCTTTGAACAGATTCAGGTCATATTCAACGAAAAAATTTCATCAAATATAGCATTTATTTGCAATAAATACTTTACAGAATATAATAGAAACACTATAAAACCCGTGAATTTATACATTTTGGACTTACCACTGTTACAACCTAAATATACGAATTTTCTTGAAGACATCGGCCAAAGGGGACCTTCCTTTCCTGTAAAAATAAAACATGTTACTAAAATGTTATAAAATAAATAATTTAAAATATACTCACGCTTTGGTTTGGGTGGAATTAATTTTATAGCTCCCGGTTTTTCAACCATGTCTATGGTTTTAATCTTCTTTTCAGGTGGAGTCTCATTGTGAACTGGCGAAGGCCTCTTGGGTATTGGTATTGAAGGGGGTAATGGCGGAGGGGGTTTCTTATTAAGCAATGCTGCGCGCGAAGGCGGAGGCTTCACTTCTTCCTCCAGCCCATGTTTTCTAAACTTTGAATTGAAAGTCTTAACAGTTTTGGGTTTGGGCTCATCAGGTTTTCGTACTTCAATCGATATGGATGGTTTATCTTTTTTCACATCACTTAGTTTAGGTATTTTTCCTAATTTATGTATAGATGGTGTGGATGATTTATCGTCAGATTTTTCTGCGGATGGATTAGGCGACGCTTTACCTTTATCGTCTTTTTCCTTTGTCTTCTCCTTTTCTGTACTATGTTTTGTTTTATCGTCTTTAGACCTACTAGAGGAACTGGTCTTTCTACCGCTGCTACTGCTTCCGCTACTTGTGTTGTGTTTTGATTTTGAACTGTGTGATGAATGCTTTTCCTTATCCTTTGATCTTTCCTTACTACTACTATGCTTACTAGAACTACTTTTATGGCTACTTTTATATTTATCACTTGATGATTTACTTGAATGTTTAGAAGAAGATCTAGAACTACTACTACTTCTATCACTAGACTTTTCTTTACTTTTACTTCTATGTTTTTCTCTTATTTTATCCTTGTCAGACACGTCATCAGATGCAACGCTATCTTCATCAACTTGAGAAATTATTTGTTTTCCATTCTTTAAGGTTATTTTTAAGACGGGAAGTGTTTCAGATTCTTTTTCATTGTCTTTAGGCATTTCAACAACATCTTTATCCTCTTGACTCGATAACTCAGGTGAGGAATCCTCGGCTTTAAATGTATTATCGCCGTTGATTTCACATTCAATTTGTTCAGTTTCCGTTAAAACTGCAATTTTTTCTTCAGGTTCAGTTTCTGTTCCTGCATCTGATATTATGTGTGTTATATCAGATAGCAAAATAGGGATAACATGTTCACCTTTGACAGTTTTCAACCACTGTTCTACCAATTTCGAAGCCAATGCTCTGATAGCTAAAATAAAATTTTAAGATTAGTATGAAATAAGGAATAACATTAATCTAATTAAGAGATAAACTATATTTTCTAATGTCGTCATTCAAGTTGTGTTATTCCCGATATTAAGAAGTTAAAATTAAAAGTCTTTGTATGTTTGACTGACCAGTCAGTGCCTTTCAAGTATTTCGCTTTCCGCATATACAGACTCCCTTAAGTCTTTACGTTTGACTGATAAATGAAAGTTTTCGCAATTTCAATGTAGATATAGTACTTGTACATAAACTACTACAAATAAAAAATATTTTAAAAATGATCAAAATTTAGAATATATTTTCATTTTCAAGTGATTGTAAATATTCTATATCTGGACACAGTAGCAATTGATTTTAACTTACCATAGTGGTTCCCATCCTTGGATAATTCCTTGACAAGCTTAGGGCAATTATTTGTTTTCAGTCTTTCAATGTCAACTGGACAAAGCAGCAAAAGCTCCAAAAGTTCTCTAACAAGAGGCCAATTTTTGGCTACAATGCTTTCTGTTAGCCACATGTGTACCAATCGCCAACCACCAGAACCCATAAATAGCCCTAGTAGTTCAGTTTCTGTACACTTTAAAATTTGTATGTATATACATTTGGACACTAGTTTCTTTGAAAATTTGGTCATTAAACTGCAAAGAAATAAATAAAATGTATCTGCACATAATTTAATAAGATATTGTAAAAGAAACAATATTATACAATGATTGGTAAACAGGCTTCCGAGGGCGCAAAAAATTATATCAATTATTATTTATTATTTTAAAACAACATGATAAGCTTACATATACCACCTGCGTCCGAGAAATCTTATGTATCCTAACATGGGGATGGGGGGTTAACTTCATTCATTCAAATATTCAAGATCGTCAATTATCAGAAGTTAAAACAGTAATATTTTTAAAATAAATAAAAAAGTGATTAAAAGTGAACATCGAGCTAGATATTATGAGTGTGCTTTATTCACATAAGAACTTACCTTGCGAGCCGTTGTACTTCGTCTCTGCTTTTAATACCGCCTTTTGGCGACAGGAGAACGCTGAGACAATTTAACAATTGCATTGGACAAATCCGCGGCTGCAACAAAAGAAATAAATATTAATAAGATTTTTTTTTAAATATATGAAACAAAAACAAACAATTATAATAGTATTTTAATATATAAATCCATTAATACTATTATTGCAAACATTACTCAAACGTCGGATTCGCTAGTCTTAACTTCAGAAGTCGCAAAATACGACAATAATAATACTACTATATACAGTGTGATTCAATGGCAGAATCCACCTCTAAAATTGAATTGGCTTGTACACCTTTAAACAATAAGGATCGGAAAACTTTGTACAATTGCATATACACACAGTACTGCAGTCGGGGTTTTAGTGTAGGTAAGAAACAGCTGTATTTTATTTAATTAAATGATATCAACTTAATAAGCTGTTAGTAAGTGAATGTACATATTCAAAAATAAACACAAAACAAGTTGTGCATATATGGAATGTGGATATTTAAATTATAATATAAAATTAGGCTGTAATTATTTCAAGGGGAATTTTACTTTTTCATAGATTATTTTTTAATTCCACGCTCACAAAATCGAGAGCAACACTAATTATGTATACACTACACTCCTATGTAGCTTTAAATTTAATATGTGGCAATGCCACTGCACATTGCATATATATTAATAGGATGTACTCTAGTGATCCACGGATGGTAGAGATAGAGTTGATGGTTGAACAAATATTGATAGATCTATGAAAAAAACATTGTGTTACCCTGGATTATCTAAGTTTTCTGTCATAAACAATAAAAGAATGTGTAGAACACATTTATTGATTTACAGGGGGAGCAACGGGTGGTTTAAATTGCAAAGGTAAGGCTTACCCTTATACTAAATGTGCATGTTTTATTATGAAATGTTGGTAATGGTTGTTATAAAACAAATAGAAAACAACAGAAATTGTGACAACTACATCAGTACTATTTACAATTGATGAATCTAAACACTTGTGTTAATGACAACAAAAAAATATCATCAAGACCATACATATGATATGCTCAGTAAAAATCTATGCATGTTAGGACAGAACCGAAAAACTACTTTAAGTAATGATGTATACTTGTATAAATATTTATGGAAATCCCAGCGGGTCTTAATTTGGCGCGAGTCACTGCACAGAAACTTAAAATTAAGTATAATGGGGCGAAGCAGGGGTGTGCGTGGAAAGAGATAGAATTATAGTCAAATGTATGCATTAGTGCAGGCAGTTTCTTCTGCATATTGACATAGAATAGTGAAATTACCCCAGGGTCACTGTAATGGTTCTGCAGTGGCGATTCTATACAAGGGAGGAAGTATATCAAAATTACCGCGGGACCTGTGTTATAGTTTCACAGCCAAGGTGTGCTACAGGAGTCAAATATTGTCATTTATTTTAAAAGTGATATCTTAATGTAAAATTGCATATCTTGTAATTTAAATGTTTCTCATTAGTTTGAATGTTGGAATAGTTGTTAAAAAGTAAATCCAAAATGGCTTAACAGATCTTTATACAAATTGATACTGTGATACATAATCCTAGATAATTTATCTTTGAAAAATGAAGTGTTTTCTTGAGACATACATGCTTTTATCTTAATTCTGTGCCAACCAAATCTAGGCAACCAGTATTATTGTATATGTTAGTTACCAGAAAATCATGAAATTTAAACTTTTAGTGTAGAATATGCAGTTTTTCAATGGCGTAACATTTAAGCTTTGATTAGAAAATATTTCTTAGTTAGCAAATTGATTTTACCTATTTAATACATACATGTATACAAAGGAAATGTCTTTTTTCTTATATCCTGTCCACTTATTTTTTTAAGGAGGCCATAAATCTGCAACTTAAGTTATGTATAGCTTAGCTTAGCAAATGTATATGGGCATCACAATGCTATTTTTATTACTTTAAGTGACCACTCATTTCTTTATCCCACTGAATCCTATAAAAGAACATTACTTGCTTGAGAACTTAACATTCCAGGTATCAAAAGGTTATCTTAGCCATTACATAAACGTAATTAATTCCTCCTTTCATTGTCTCAAACTTATGGAAGAGAAACTGCACTTAAGTCAAATTCCAAAATATTTCTGGAATACAACAATTTGCAATAGAACCCAGTAGATTTATACACCATATGTATCATGATACTGACATAATACGAACTATCCAATACGATATATATTCTGTTTCATATATTTATTAATGAACTACCTAGATTCAACACATGTTTCAGGTGGGGACGGGGGAGGATCAAAGTCCACTTTACTTGTATTGTACCTATACAGGAAGTCAATCAGCACATCTTTAACCATAGACAAACTACAATTTACACGAAACCTCGTTAATTTCTTAATATTTTTGAATACTTTCTCTAAATATAACTTAACCTAACCTCATTTACGATATAAATTCACTCACTAAATCGCTACCCTTTATTATTTTCAAAGTGCATTAAAATGGCCACACTCATAGAATTTCCATAGCCTCTATCAAATTAATTTCAGATTTGGATTGAGATATAATAGATATGACCGCAATATTATAAATATTATCATATCCAAAACGTAGCCAATTTAGTGCTTTTAGATAATAAGTAGAAAGTATGTCACAGTGGGTAAAAAATGGCGGATGGATGAAATCAAGATGGCGGCAATTAGAATTTCGCAATGATTGTATAAGAGAAATCTAAAATCATAATACTAAATACAGGAATAGAATTAAAGTACTTTTTCCTGGGTATTTTATTATCCGAAGTTAAAATAGATTTAAATGTTATTATGACGTCATCTCATTCGGAAAATTATTTTAACTTTGTGTACGATTTCTTTGGTTACTTTCTATTTTGTACTTTTTTTGGATATGTTTCTTGCGTAATTTTTAAATATAGTATTAAAGCAATCCTGTAGAATTCAAGTTAATACGTAGATTCAAGGCTACGTGGTACTTTACTACATAATATTTTATTTCATGTAATATCAACGTTACATAAAAAAATATGAGATCAATAAATACAAAACTTACCATGATGATTATTTTATTTCTGCTCTTAACATGGGCAACGATGACGTGTAGTAATCACGCGCCACGCCTTACATTTGTGATAGAAAATGGCGGCGTATAGTTAAAGAATTAGGTAATCCTGTACTCGTGGAAAACATTTTGCGAAAGCACATACATAAATCTTAATTTTTAGATTCATAATCCTTCACAAATAATAAAATGTCTTATCACTACAGTGATTACTGTCTTTGTAAAAATGTAAAGTATCTTTAAATATAATTATATGAAGTTGCAGTCTTTTTAAATTATGTTAATTTCATTATTAAAATTTGAGAATATACACTAATAATTAAAATGTTGTAATCCAGGCAAAGGACAAAATGGCGTTTGTCCGTAGCAAGCCGATCCGATAAGCACAACCTACAGGCCAGAAGATTGAAAATTGAGTGATCTAAAAAGACAAAATGTTGTTCAGTTCAGTCTTTCCTGTTCCTTCAGTTCAGGGGAAAGAGCGTTGATTGGTGAATGATTGCGAACGGTATGTTTACAAGACTGGTAACACAAAGACAATTATTTCGAACTTGCCTCAGATTTGTTTTGTATAAATGAAAAGAGAATGTTCCTATATTATTAAATTAACAGTTTATATTGAAAATTAGCTTATTAAAAAAAAGTGAGCGGATGATAACTGATTTCCACAAACCATTGACCGTAGACAAACATTAGATACAGTCATTCAATGCAATATCTTGTCATTGTCACTTCCACTTCATTCAGTCCAAATCCCATAATATCCTAAATCCGACCTATACCGTTTTATTCGTTTAAATCAGAAATTCGTAATATTAACTGCATTAAATTGTTTTTTCAATTCAATTGTTTTAATTTATATCTTGAATAAATTAACGATTTCCAAGGTGCTTAATAGAAAAATTGAAAATAATATTTTGTATTGAAAGGTGGAATCCTTAGTGGTCTGAGTGATAAAATGTGGGGCGACTCTTTATTGATTGTTTTTATTTCAATATGCACAGCTTTTTTAGGAGAAGGTACTGATTTCATAAGTAATTAATATAAAGTTTTTTTTATTCACTTTTTATCAGAATGATCCAAATTGTACCTTTTACATAACTTTTTTAAAGGTTTGACTTGGGTTTTGGTGTACAGGACTGAAAAATATCAAAAACTTAAGGTAGAAGTCGAACGCCAAAGTAAAAAATGTAAGTACTTACAAAGTGTGCTTCTACTTCTATTTCATAAGGAAATACTATTAGTTGTTAAAATTATAACTGGTACTTTTGTTTCAGAGTTATATTACAGATTACATTTAGAATTGGAAAATTCACATAAACTTCAGCTAATTTTAAATGTTCATTTTACAAAATTAACTTAATATCCATTGATTCCATTCACATCTGTTAGATGCTACCATTGTTATTGTTAATGCTAGACTTTATTTAATGTTTTGCTTTGAATTAAAATTTTGGTAATGGAAATTTTCAAAAATTATTACATTTTTTCCAAAAAAAAATTAATTAAAAATATATTTATTTTTAGTGGAAAAGCGTAAAGAAGCCCATGGAGATTCCCTTGATAAACAACATAAAAAGAAAATTGAAAGAGAGGAAGAAAGATTAAAAAATAACAACAGAGATCTTTCACTGGTGAAGATGAAGTCAATGTTTGCAATTGGTTTTGCTTTTACTGCACTCTTGAGTATGTTTAATAGCATGTAAGTGTGTTTAAATCATTCTTAACTGGTTTACAACAATTTACTTAATTTTTTGTGATAACTTTCTTTCAAAACTTAAAATGAAATATTAACATTGAAGTTTAACAAAGAATCTGTTATGTAAAATTAAGTATGTAAGTTATACAAAATACAGTGGCTATGAACTGAGTAATGTTAGTGGACCACAATCAGCATCTCCAAAGAATATTGTGATGATAAATAATGAATATTCTGTTGCAATATCTTTTTTTTTATTATTTCAGTTTTGATGGCAGAGTTGTAGCCAAGTTGCCATTTCATCCTATTTCCTGGATACAAGGACTGAGCCATAGGAATCTTCCTGGAGACAACTACACAGATTGCTCCTTCATCTTTTTATACATACTCTGTACTATGAGCATAAGGTAATTGTAACTTTTTTTTTTAATTTGACAAAACTCATTCAAGACTTGCATTTGTTTTTTGTTTTTTTTGTTTCAGGCAAAATATTCAAAAGCTCTTAGGGTTTGCTCCATCAAGAGCTGCATCTAAACAAGGTGGAGCATTGTTTGCTACACCACCCTCACAATTTAAGTAAAAATCTATTTATTTTATGTTGTTATAGGTAATAATTAAAAGTAGTGAGAAGAAAAATTAGTTTCATTTAAAAATCAACCTTCAAATCTTCAGAGGATATTAAACTAGCCTTTTTTGGCCTCAAATCTATTGCGATTCTTTCATATTAAAATCAAGTTAAATAAGGAGTTTGTAAAATAACAATAAAAACTATGTTTTATTTTAATTCTATTACAATAACAATAATATAGATACATCACACTATACAACTAATAAACATTAAATTCAACTAAAGGCTCATCAACTAATAGTCTATCAAATCCAAATCTTGTCATATCAATACTAGAATAATGACCATCAATTATGGATTCTGCTATTGCCCTTCCTATTCCAGGAGCATGTTGGCAACCTAAGAGTGAAAATTAAAAAATATAATATACCTTAAAGTTTTATCACATAAACAATTTACCACAACATGATAAAAATTTATTTCTAGTGGAATATATCAAAAAGTAAATTTTCATGTTGTTTATGGATAGTTTAAAGGAATAAATTTTACATGGAGCAAAAACCCTTTAGTTCCTTTCTGTCATTTTTATCATGTCATGTTTATCATTTAGTTAGAAAAAATAATTTACCCAGTTTGCCAAAACCAGCTGCTATAACCAAATTAGTGTGGTATGGATGTGGACCCAAAATACCAGTTTCATCATAAGTATTGCAATCTTGAAATTCTGTTCGTATTTTTTTAATCTGAAATTTAATTTAAATATAGCTTTAGAATAATTGTCATAAAAAACATGGTTTAAATGAACTAATAATTAACAATACTTGACTTACCTGGTGATCTTGAAAATTTGGATACCTGTTAGATAAAGAAGGCCTAATTATCTCTTCATAAAACTTGTCCGTCAGCAATTCTTTGACACTATTGTTTGGCATAGGTGTGAAGCCACACATAAAGTTGTTTTCAAGTGTATTGGGTTGTAACCAAAGGCCACTAGTATCCATGATAACAGGTGTACTGATACTAGCCTTTATATTTTCATCTTCAATGTTATATATGTCATATTCCCTTTAAATAGAGTACATGTAAGTGCATGTCTTTATGGAACAAAAAATTTATTTAACTTTATATTTATAATTTACCGTTGTTGTATAGGTAAAGGTATCTTTAACAGACCATCACCATCACCTATATGTGCTAATTTTGCAACTTCGCCTGACTGTCCACTAGCAGCTAAGATGCAAACAGCAAATTTAATTGCATATTCTTCATTGTCCTTTGTCCGATACATAACTTTATTTATTTTCCTAAAACCTCCTGGGGTCACTCCTTCCATTAAAACATCACGCTGTTGTTCCACATCAAATCCAGTTACTTCAGCATCAACATAATTCACTCCAAGTTCACTACTTTTTAAAACAAGACCTTTTAAAAGTGCTTCTGGATCAAAAACACCTTCAGATTCTGTACTTATACAGCCTGGAAATACAATAATTGAAATAAAGAAATAATACAGCCGAATACTTTGGCAAAGTTAAAGTAAATTTTGTTGTTTTGTATGTAACCACTGTAATAAAAATTATAATTATTTGTAATAAAAAGCATATACTGGATTTTGCCATGAGTGGTCTTTCAGCTTAGAATTTCATGAGTTATGGTGAGTTAATAATGAATAAGCTGTATGTACCAATTTTAAACTATATTCTAGATATTTTTCCATGAATTTTATTGCTGTATTCAAATAATTTACAAGCTGAAGCACACCTCAAACTGTGGTTACTCCATGCTACGCTATGTTAATGCACATAAATTGAAAATAGAATGAAAGAGATAATGTAATTTTACAATTTTAATTACCTAATTTAACATCAGTTGTGTTTATCCATGGATATTTCTCTTTAATATCAGCAGGCATAATTAATTCATTTTTAACACCAAACTCTTTTTGTATTGTTACATTTTGTTCCAATCTTTCAGCATACTTTTCACTTGCGAGTATTAAATGTCCATTTGGTTTGTATTCAATGTTTGTATCACTATTCAAATGTAATTTAACATTTCTAAGGAACTCTGCTGAATACTGAGCCAATTGAATGTTTTCTGGTAAAGAAAAATGTTGGGTTATAGTACCCAATGAAGTATTGTTTTGAAATTTGGCATACTGAAATAAATGTCACAATTGAAATAAATAAATCTTAAACGAAAATTTAGACATTATGTTATTACTTACAGATAAATCTTTTTCTAAAATTATAACTGATAGTCCTGATCCAGCTTTAGTTTTTAACCAATATCCAACTGAAGATCCAATAAAACCTCCACCTATTATGACGACATCAGCATGTTCAGGATAAATGGCATTTTTTTTACTTAACATATCATTAGATAACGTCTTCCAAGTTTTAACAAAAGGATGCTTCTTAGTGGTATAATAACGATATTTATAAATATTGTGTTGTATACAACGGTGGACAGTTTTTATGTGTAACATTTTGCTGGTAAATTATAGTTTGTCTTTTTTATTTTTATTTACATATCATTGACAAGAAATATTGATTGTATAATATAGAAATTAGAAGTCAAAATAATCCGCAACAATACAACAGAAACGAGCTTTATGACTTAAGCTACAATAGTATTATATGTGGGCACTATATAATCACTGATATGTTGATAAGCATTTCAGGATTTTTCACGAAAATGACATTGACAGAAGAATGTCGTTTTATATACTCTTTGATTTGTTGTATCGACTAGCTGTCAACCGCGACTCCGTCCGCGTAGAAGTTAATAAAACTTAGCTAAAAAACTTAAACTTAATTAAAAGTTAATAAAAAAATCAGTAGCCAATGAATTCTTTCATGTTCGAAATCTCTGCCAAATTAAAATATTAAAAAGAAATAAGATAATATACGATAATAAGTGATTTCTCTGGCCGTGTCCGTATTCAAAAACTCTTTAGTATCAAAACATCCCATTTGCTTGAAATAAGATATGACCTAAAAGTCTATGTTACCAGGTCATAAAATTAAAAAATAAATCTTGTATTAGTTTGACTACAACTTATTTGTATGGTTTTTAAATTTAATAAAAGCAATTGAAGAAAAGGTTACAAAAGCATCGCTAACATATTGCTTTATTTATTTATGCTATACTTTCGTAGTGTAATTTTCACAATATGCTACAATAACCATAGCGTACTGAAGCAGTTTTGAGAATAAATATAACCTCAAAACCAAAAGAAATTATTTTAAAATACACAATAAAATTAGATAATGATGTAAAGGTAAGTTACATATTTATGCGGTTTAAAATGGATTCAAAATACGCAGTTCTTGGCAAAGAAAATAATAAAAGAAATTCAAATGGAATCAAAGTTAAACGTATAAAGTTGTGCGTAGAAAATTCATCAAAACTAAATGGGAACCACGTTGCCACCCAACAAGTTGCGGATCAACACGATACAAAGGAGACATTTATTGAAGACTTGAGAGAAACGCGAAAGTTATTACCTGTGTATGCTGTAAGAAATAGGTAAATTCTTGTTTATCTAAATGAAGGAATAATTTACATGTTTATTATAAAGTATATAGCTAGAATATTTATTTTACATGACTGGGATACTTAAACTTTCTTTTAGAATTGATATAATTCATTGTGTACTTGTGTGTAATTCATTGATATGCTTTAAACAGGTTATTAGAAGAAATAAAAAAAAACAACACAATGATACTTATTGGAGAAACGGGCAGTGGAAAAACTACACAAGTTCCACAACTTATACATGAACAACGTCTTGAAGGATCAGCTTCTATAGCAGTAACACAGCCAAGGAGAGTTGCCGCTATAACATTGGCCATGCGTGTTGCAGCAGAAATGAATACTGAAATAGGATCAGTTGTTGGGTAATTAATAATAACTTGAAATTAAACATTAAATTCAATATACATTATCTTTTACAATGTTTAGAATTTTTAATTATGACTTAAATTTAAAATCTATCTATGTACAGTAATTGTATGAAAAAAATATTTCAGGTATTGTGTTAGGTTTGAAGATGCAACCAGTGTAAGGACCAAAGTAAAATATTTAACGGATGGCATGATGCTAAGGGAGGCAGTGGCTGACCCATTATTGAAAAGGTACTCATTTATAATATTGGATGAGGCACATGAACGTACTGTAAATACTGATGTCCTATTTGGAATTGTTAAATTAGCTCAAAAAGAAAGAAATGAAAAGAAACTTCTACCTTTGAAGGTATACATTTTGCATACATCTTACATTGCATTTTGTTTCTTTTTACATAAAGTTATATTTTTATAGGTGATAATAATGTCGGCAACAATGGATGTAGATTCATTCAAGAAGTATTATGATGAATGTCCAGTTATTTATTTGGAAGGTAGAGCGCATCCAGTAACTATATATCATACTAAAATGAAACATGAAGATTATCAGTATGCAGCCTTATGTACAATATTCCAACTTCATGCAACTTCACCAGCTAAGTAATTATCAGTTTTAATACACATAATAATTAATAAATGATTATTTTTGATTATTATTATTAATGTTATTCCTTAAAATTTCTAGCCATGATTTTCTTGTATTCTTGACTGGTCAAGAAGAGATTGAAACTGTGATGAGCAATATTAAACAAATTGCCAAGGTAAGTTTTTATATAATTTTTGTTTTATTTTAACTGTACATGAACTATACTACAATTGTAGTGAGGTAGAGTTCATAGCATAAGAAAAAAAATATCAGATATCACCAGGATTTTCAATAAAAAAAAAACAAATTCCAATTTCAGGAATCACCAGGACCACTAATAAGGGTGTGTCCCTTGTATGCCGGTCTTCCAGCTGCTAAGCAATTACAAGTATGGAAAAAAACTCCACCTGGAATGAGAAAAATTGTGCTGGCAACTAATATTGCTGAGGCCTCTGTTACTATACCACAAATAAAATGTGTCATTGACACTGGATTTGTGAAGGAAAGGTAAATTATGTGATTTATGACCTTGTAAAACTCAAATTAATATGTTCATACACCTATGTTTCACTAAAAAATAAACATTATTCTGCATTATTGATTTTATGAAAATAATATTTTTTTTTATGATTGCCATGAATTAGATGAGAACTATGTATTTATTGTGTTAGAACTTGGTGTACGTCAACGGGTGCGGAGCGGTTGCGGGTGGGACCGTGCTCGCAGGCGGCGGCGTGGCAACGGGCGGGGCGCGCCGGACGCACCGCTCGGGGCGCCGCCTACCGCCTCTACACGGAAATGGACTTCGGAGCTAGAAAACCACACAACACTCCAGAGATAGTGAGGTCTGATACATTTGCACTTCTGTATTTCATAACAAGCTAAAACTGAATAGCTTATTCATTATTCTAAAGTGTAGACCATATCTATTCCAAATTTCATTCAGAATTGTTCAGCTAATCTGGAAATATGTCGTAACAAATTCCTGTAAATCATTTCAAACTTTCAAGTTTATAATTGTAAAATACTATTCTGCCAATATTCGCTAAAGTTGATGGATATATCAAATTAAATTGTTATTCTTCTATAAGTGAAGGATATTTAAAAGCGAGTAGTTTTGAGATAAATTATGGAACTTAAATTTTTAATTGTAATTAAATTATTTCAGATGCCCCCTCGCTTCGACTATATTATTGCTAATCGCATCAGGATTTGATCCTCTTACATTTCCATTAATTGATCCACCACCTGAAGAATCTGTGAAAGCATCTTTATTGTTACTGAAGGAATTAGGTAAAATTAACAATAATAATAACCAGTTATGTTTTACCTTTATAGTGTTATGTTAATTTTGTTTTATACAATCTTTCAGGTGCAATTGATAACGAAACAAATCCAAAGTTGACTGTTCTCGGCAAAAAAATGACAGCATTCCCTATTGATCCAAAATATTCTAAGATTTTATTAAGTGCTCCAGAATATGACTGTTTAGATGAGGTAAGATGGTATTTATTTTTTTAATGAAAAGTTTTCCACTATTATCACATTTAGTTTTATAAATTAAGCATTTTTTCGATCCAAGCTTTTGATTAACTAGTGACATGTGATATGAATGAATTTATTTGTATTGAATTAATATATTACAGGCATTAAGTTTGGTGGCAGTTTTATCAAGTGAAAATGTGTTTCACATGCCAATTCATAAGAGGGAAGAAGCATTGAAAGTAAAGCAAAAATTTGTATCAACATTAGGAGATCATATTACGCTATTAAACGTTTTTAAAGCATTTTGTAAAGCACCTCTTAAAAAGGTTTGTAATATTACTATTAATTAATGTCTACTAATTTTTTGCACAATGAAACGACTTAGTTTAATTTTCTGAATATTTTTACAGCAATGGTGTAAGGAGAACTATCTAAATCATAAAAATTTAATCTATGCATATGATGTGAGGCAACAACTACTAGCTATTTGTCAAAGACTTAACATGACGGTGACAAGTTGTGGGATGGCGTTAGATCAGGTAAAAATCAATTTCTGATGACATGTGTAATGTAACAGCAACAAAATCTTAGTGTAAACATTAGTTGTTACAATGGCCTGGTGTCAGTGAAATAGGTAGAAAAATTGTTACTGCCTTTAATATATTGCTCACATTAATCCAATTTTATAGGTTTACAAATGAATTTTATTTAAAATGAAATCAGTATGACACAGAATTGTTGAAGGAAAGGAAAAGAAGGCAGGAAAAAAGAATGTAACAAGTAATCTAAAATGTTTTTTAATTTGTTTCAGTTATTGAAATGCCTACTGAGCGGTTTATTTACGAACTGCGCGTGGTTGCGCAGCGGGGTAGGTGTGGGCGGGGCGAAGTACGCGACGGGGTCCGGCGCGGCGGCGGGGCTGCACCCTGCGGGCGTGCTGCACACCGTGCGACCCGCGCCGCCCGCACTGCTCTACACCGAGCTGCTGCACACGCGCCGCGCCTACCTCGTCACTGTGTCTGTTATACAACCGCAGTGGCTGCACCAGGTCGCGCCCGACTACGCGAGGCGTTGCAGGGCTAGCCGAACTTGTCCTACAGATGGTTGATTACCAGTGCAAATTAAAAAAAAAAACTTTACAGCCATATAGGGTTTTGATTAACTTCACAGATTTGCCAAGAAGTGGATGACTTTTTCATTCAAATGTTGTGTTTTGGTTCCTTTCTGTTACTCATTATATGAGAGTGGGATCCTTTGTAAATTGATCAAATGTTGTAAAAAGTTAAGCTTTATCAATATGCTAACATAGGTCTTATTCTATTGTAAATAATAACTACTATGGTTTTGCACAACGTGGAAGTATGTATTTACCATTGTGACTTGGCAGCCGTTTAACTTGACCGATTTTGACGACCGAATTGAATGCTTTCTAATAATTTAATTTGTACCACATACAGTAAAACCGTTGATTTTTTTCAGTTAAATTTTTTACTTTATACAAGTTCTAGAATGAACATTGTAGAATATAAAATAAGCCCAATTATATTTGTATAACAAATAAGTGTAAAGTGTATAAACACCGAAATTCCATGTGAAACGAATTTATAGCCCTCGATTCAACAGGGTTATTTAGTTCGTGGTTTAATATAAGTCGTAGTTTTATTATTTGTTATAATATATGAACAAGTTTTTTTTATGCATGATTAATAAAAACGTTTGCTGTATCCTGTTATACGCTTATTTCATATTCGAAGTTTCAAATTTTAAATTGTCATATTTTTAGAAACATGAGTTATAAAAATCCAATTCATTTATAGAATGACGAATTAAAAATTTGTGCTTAAAAATCGACAAATTAGTAAATCTAAAATCAAGTTTTCAAAGACAATAAAGAAAACAACGAAGTACTTTATATTAATTAATATTTGGTGGCTGTAGTTATCAATGTTTCAAGGCAATACAAGAATTTTGAAGGACTTGTATCGGCGGATCCCGTTCAAGACTTTCTCCACCCTACTACTCAATTTAAAAAAAAAACTTGAAAATTTTACTAAGGTTATATTGTAGTCACCTAGTTATGATAATCAAGCCCCTAATTCCAAACTTTGATCCGCCATTGCTAATACTTTACAAAAATTGTACATATTCTATGACAAAACAAATACACTTGTAATTTATTAAACACTAACTAGTTTCTACGTTATCCTCGCCATAATAAAAAGAGCATATTTTACACATTATGTTTTTGTATAAATATAAATTATTGTTAATGTTTTATGTGTATAAGTAAATATTATTTCAGTACGATTGTTATTTTATTTTCAACGTGTACCCTAAAGTTATTCGCCATCCTTCTGAACTCGTGACATGGTTATCCCTGGAGAATCACGCTTTAGCGAACGAAGAGTTCCTCTCATTCATCTTAGTTAGGAGTAAAGAAATCATTGTTACATTTTGTCCCAATTTCTACAAAACCTGTTATTTTATGTGATTTCTATAGACTTCCGAATATCCAAGTGTAAGATCAGAATTTACACAAACTTATGATCACTAAGGAATAATTGTAGTGTTGATTTTTTTTTATATATCATAAGGTGGCAAACGAGCGAGCGGCCACCTGAAATCGCTGATGTAGCGAAGTGACCGTTGCCCATAGATTGCCCGTTGATTCTATTAAAATAGTGATTATATTATGTAGCTCAACAAATCCATATATTTATTAGGTCAAATATATCTGGCAAGAGAAAGTTCTAAGACGCTATAACCAACAAAGTGCGTGCGAGCTCGGGAAGTATTTGTGGCTTCCTTCATTTCCGTATGTGCTTTGCTTTCATTTCCGTGCGTCTGTTTACGAGTTTCGCGTATTACCCGACCGCTGCCGACTCGCAGCGTAGGGAAGGGAAATGTGTTGAGAAAACCACGTCATTGCTTATATTCGCTTACGTGTTAAATGTACCGTTTAATTTTAATGTAATAACAAGTCTACACGTAAAATAAAATCCGTATATATAACTTTAACTGTAATTAATTATAATTCGTCGTGTGCTTGGAAAGTAGACAAACTGCGATTTTAGACCTAGACATAGCCATACTTATTTGAAGCAAAATGATTAGATTGTCTTATCGATCCCATTTCTCTTTTCTAAACCATGTAATAATTATACTGGTTGCATAAATAATTTAAACAAATGTTTTTCCTAAATAGTCGCATGGGAAATTAAGCTCGACAAAATCCTCTTCACGTTTTACAAAACTGGGCAAATATTAATGAAAAGCTATTGAAAATTTTTACTGTTTGGCATTCGTTAGCAATAGAGGCACATTTTTTTAATAAGGACATAAGGGTCCTGTATCTATATGTATGAGATGAGATAGAATTTATAGAAAAAAATATTTAAACCGTTCAAACCTACCGTAAGATGTAAGATAGAGGAAACAATTAATGTGAATGAATTGAATTCACTCAACATAGATACAATGCGGATGGTATTATTAAAGAATATAGAAGTGCAACTTACTGCAACTTTTCTTTGAGATAATTGAAATTGTCTACGCGATAGGGGGTCGGCGGTGAACACAATTTGTTCAGACGCGGCGGCTGATTCGTTTCTTTAAAACTCCGCTTCGAGTTAAATTAAAAATCAATGTAGTGTACAATTGAACTCTGCGACTGAAATAAAATTTGCGACCTTATTTATACATATTTTTGTAACTGGGATTATTTTAAAGCTTCTATTTTACACGGTTTAGAATATCAAAAAATAGAATTGCCATTAAAAACCTTTTAGAACTTTTTCTTATGTCTCTTACTATAACCATTTTTAAAACATGTAGCAGTGATCAATATGGGTTATATTAAAATAAATAATGGTGCCAAAGCAAAATATATATTACTTAGCAACATAAAATATATAGGCATAAGGTGGACCTTGTGTTATAATTTTATAAATCGTCATGTAAGACATATATTTATGTGTAATGTAATTGGACCTGAGAGATTACGATGCTGAAAGGGTTAGGCGCAGTTTGTCTTTGTCGGGTTGGTTCACTCAGCACATTTGTTTCTAAATTAACTCGCCGCTGTATGTTAGAGAAGGTAAATGTAGTATTGAGATTTTTCTTCTTCATTGTAACCTATTATTTTATTTATAGTGTTACTTAAAAATGCTTTCTTATCTAATTTTTGTTGGTAATTACCATGGTTAAACTTGTCTATAAATATTATTATTTTAAGCAGGCGCAAACCATTACTTGGGGTACCATTTTGAGTGATCTAATAAAGTTAACGATTTGATACTTGTGTAAGCTTAGCTTAAAAGGATACGCAAATATGAATACAACATAAACTATAATCAAACATTGTCGGTTCCGTCCCAGCAAAGTCATGTTTGTATAAAACAGTGCAGTAACGTTTTGTTTACGAAAAGATCAATAGAAGTTTCGGGAAGTTAGAGACCGATACGGAGCTGTGTTGAGACAATTGAAAAAGTATTTGAAAACTTCATTTCCCCTGTCCGGTAAACCGCTTTTCTGTTACTTTTATCGCATAACAATAGTTACGGTATTGTGTCGGATTTGCACGTGACTACAACTTTGTTGAATATTCCAGTAGTTCAAGATCCTTATTTATTGTCTATTAAAGTTATAAATAGCTTGATTAATATTTCTTCTTTCTTAATTTAAAACTAGGTAAGTAAAGCAGCTTACTAATATATTTTTAATATCTGTACGTGTACTTTTTTAAGAGTGAAAATAGTATTTTCATTAAAATTATAATGTGAAAAGCAAAATGTTGAGGACATAAATAATAGAAATATAATAGAAAAACAAAATTACGAAGCTATGAAATATGTAAGTAACTACATTCTTTATCCTTATAAAAATGTTTTCTTAATAAAAACCCTCATTAAAACACAGATCTTTGTTTTTCTATTATTAAAAACAATGTAATTAATAGCGATCTATTCATTATTTTCTACAACAAACTAAAATTACTCGATCTTTATCACGCAACTGTCTCAAGCAATAGAAGGAGGTACTGTCTGCTCATTAACAAACTTTGCCTTTGTTTACTTGTTTCTGGCGTATTTCATTACATAGCTTTTGTTACGTTTAGCTAAGAGATGATTTAATACTGTGTAACTTCTGCAAACTCTATAATTTACTATCTTAATAATTACATACTCGTACTTACATATATAGGTTGAATATGCATTTTACAAAAATGATCAATTCAAAAGTTATATATGAAATAGGGTGAATAAAAATAATTTGAGTTTAGTTAAGTTTAAATTGCTTGTACGAAGAAGGGAAGCAGTGGAATAGCACTGCAGCTGCCGGCCACTTGCGCTCAAAACTTATAACAAACCGAATGTGCATAAACGCCTGCTAATGAATTCCTTTCCGAGCTTTTGGTTATACTGTACTACTTAGTTAACAAAAAAAACTTATAAAATGTTGTCAATTGGAATCCGATGATGCATAGCTCATTAAATACAATACGATGAGGGAAAATATTGATTTCTTAAGTTCCTTTTACATGGTATGTATATAATATTTGAAAGTTGACTAGCTTTTCCCATTTACTTTTTTCCATCAGGTTGTAATGACTAAAATTCACCCGTGGTTATATTAAATTTATTGTGTCGGTATTGAAACCAATGCTAATACTAACACTAAATTTATTATAAGTAAAAAATGCACTATTCAACATTTTTCTTATGCTTTGATGAAGTTTTGAAACTTTATAGCGAAACATTGTTGTTTAGTATTCTTTGTTCCCAAGAGTAATTTTGTCTTGCATATTTTATTCGAGATTTTTCTACTTCGTTATAACTTTATGTATACATGCTTGTTACAGTTTTATGGATACATATTGGTTAAATCAGAATATACATTTTATCTTAATATAAATGGATCATACAATTCAGAAGTATAAGAGATAAACTTAACCATTATTTCATATACAAATAAAACCCAAGTTTGCGCTGATAAAATATAAAATTGTTTTATAGTTTACGGAAATAAATATAAATGACCATCTATCTATTCCACGTTTGTAAAATTCTTGTCTAGCTCTAATTAATTGTATACTTAAAATAACAAACAGCCGCCACCGTTCTACGACATATGAAAAGATGTTGTTTTTTTTTATAAAACAGTTTCGCCAAGTGTAATTGAGTTCGTGGTAACTACTTTCTCGACGCAAAGAGATTACGCCCGCATATTCAACGCTCAAAGCAAAACTTTTCAACACTATTAAAAACTTGAAATCTCCTACAGTGGCATTTGTTTATATGTTTGACCTAAAAGAAAATAGAAGTGGCGGCCGCTTCAAGCAGGTCACTGATACATGATGACCAGACTGGAAATACTCCTATGACAAAGAAGAAGAAAAGAAAATACTTCTGCCCCAACATGTCACCCGACATAGCTTCTTGAATCCGCGTAGTTTGCAACACAAGCAGTGAGCTTATATTGTTTTAATTATAAGAAGGCAGTTTTGTTAGCCCATAATTTGTTCATTATTCCTGCTCACGCATGCTATAGCGCTTGGATGCGAGAATCGATTTCATTTGTCGGTAATGCCAGCATGCGTTGGGCGATAGTCCTTACTTCTTACTTACCGCGAATTGTACTCACCAACTCAGTCCCCACATTACTTGATATCGCTTAATATCGACCGCTCACTTTTATTAGTCGTTAGCGCGTATTCGGGGACTCCTCACATGCTGTATATCGACAAAGTTATCGACTAATGAAACTGCAGCCCTATGTTCTTTAAAATAAATTAAAATATTTGTATACGAAAATAAACTTAACATAACTGCAACGTACTAGCATAACTGAAAATTATAAAGTTTTTAAAATTGTTGACGAGGTATCAACAACATGCAGGGGATATATCATGGCTGAAAACAGATTGCGATAGAAATCATACAAATGACTGAAATGACGCACAGCGGCACTCAACAGCGTGCAATACATTATGAACATTCATACGAAATATTATAATTATACAATTTTTTTAACATTATATAGGTAGTTTCATTTCCATATTTCTATAGAGTTTTATGTATATATATATTCTAGACGCCATGTGTGCTGTGGTGTATAAGACATTTTGGGCAGCCAGAAAGTGGAAATACTCGATCGGTTTCTTTTGCCGTTGCCGAACCGGATATATTATAGATTATTTTGTTTTAGGAAAAGGCAAACAATGTTATTCTTGTGAACTTGGGTTGATAATT